TAGGAAGGGGAGAAAATAGTGCAGGAGATTAGGGGGGAGAGTGGGTGGAAGTTTCCGCCCCAAAAGGTCCTAGCCGATCCGGTCTAGCAGGAAGGCTGGACCGGTTTTCTGCTAGAGTTGGCCCGGACCACAGAGCCCTGCGTCAGCTTGTCATGTAAAAATGAGATGGAGAAATCTAGTTTTGTAATAGGCTAATGATGGTGAGTATCAATAGTTAAAAGAACATGAATTGTGGATGTTTTTTCTACTGGACTAAAAGTTTCATGAGAGTATAGCCAATGTTCTCATTTGTATCATTAAGCAACTAGGCGTTCTTTGTATTGGGCGATAGAACCACTAGAGTTTAGTTTTTCCTTGAAGGTCCATTACAGTCTAGCACATTCTGTGATGACTAAAGTGGAACCAATTTCCATGTGTCTAGATTCATGAGAGCATCAAATTATTCCGACATAGCTTGTCTCCATCTTTTACCCTTTACAACTGAAGTGTTGCAGGTAAGTTCATCGATGGTTGTAAATGTGATTGATATTAAGGATTAATTTGGGTTTGAGAGACCTAATTTTGGTTCTAGTAAGCATGGGATGAAATGGAAGTTCTTTGGAAGAGAGTGCTTGGTGTTGTTGAGATAGTAATGAGTGAAGTAGATTGTGTGGTGGGTGATGACGTTGGTTGAATAGATTTTGATGGAGAAGATGAAGTTGAATTTGTTGGATATGCTATTGGTGTTCTTGGAGAACCAATGGAAGAGGAAGGAACTAGTAGTGATGATTATATTGGTTGAGTGTCATTTGTTGTTGAAATGTGAACATTTACATTGAAAATTATAATAGCATTAGCGGATTAATTGAGACATTTATATCCTTTTTGTGAGACAGAGGAACCTTGGTGTATGCTTTTTGTTGATGATATTCTTCTCGTGGATAAATCAAGAGAAAAAACCCAGGAAAAACTTAAATTATGGAGGTCTACATTGGAGTCTAAAGGCCTTCGTTTAAGTAGAACTAAAACTGAATATATGGAATGTAATTTTAGTAGTAATAGCTCTAGTGACAGAAGTGTGACTTTGGGTGATCAAATTATTAAAAGGTGTGAACGATTTATATATCTTGGGTTCGTTGTTCAAAGCGATGGTGATATAGATGGGGATGTTAATAGTAGAATTCAAGTTGGTTGGTTGAAGTGGAGGAATGCTTCGGGCCTTTTGTGTGATAGAAAAGTACCGCTAAGACTGAAAGGAAAATTTTATAAGATGGTGGTGAGACCTGCAATGCTCTATGGCGTTGAATGTTGGCCTTTAAAAGAGAAGCATAATAATAAGTTAAGTGTTGCCGAGATGAGAATGATTAGGTGGATGAGTGGCTTTACACTTAGAGACAAAATGCGGAAGTGACAGACAAAATTAGAGAAAGTCGCCTTAGATGGTTTGGTCATATTAAAAGTCGACCATTAGATGATCCGATTAGGAGAGTAGATGTTTTAAATTCGACTTGTGTTAAGAAAGGCAGAGGTAGACCTAGGAAGACTTGGGCTTATTGTATTAAAAATGATCTTAATTTACTAGAACTAAATGCAAATATGACACTAAATAGGACGCAATGGAGAAAAAAGATTCATGTAGCCGACCCCACGTAGTGGGATTAAGGCTTTGTTGTTGTTGTTGTTGTGTGAGACAGAGGAACCGAGAAATACACGACAGATGAAATTTAGAGCAAGTTTGTGAGTGATTTTTGGTGGAAGCCATTTAAAGCATTAACATTCAAATGTCTTGAGTGTTGTAATTGGGTGATTTGTGGTATAAGAGTGATATGGAGAAAGAATTTGAGTATAGAGAGAGAGAAGATGATTAATATGATAAGTAGTTGTAAGGATTGTGTGTACCTATAGATATTGTGGAATGTTGGCTTAAACATGAGTTGTGATGGTTCCCAATAAATGCATATGCTTGCATTCGGCTATCCCACTTTATTTAGGGATACAACGACAACTTTGATGATGAAGTATACCTAGGCTAGTGAGATGATGTTGAAGTTACAATGTCATGTATTCTCTCCCAACCATCTGTACGCAAAATTTTAATCCTAGTTTTGAATTGTCTTTCTATCATTTCCAGAAATTTTATGAATTTGGACATGAATTCAAATTTTAGTTTCACGGGATAAATCCATGTAAAATGAGAATGATCATCAATGAAAGAAATGCAACATCTAAATCCTTGCTTGGACAATATTGGGAAGGGACCCATGCATTTGAATGCATTAATTCAAGAGGTGCACAACAATAATTTTGAGAAGAGGTAAAGGGTAGTTCACAAATTTTAGCAAGACCATGAGGTACATGATATAGATTTTACAGAAATACATAAAATTTGTAGGCCTTTTTCCAGTAGAGAAAAAAGTGGAGGGATTCGAATGACCTAATCTTTTGTGTCAGAGAAGTGCAATTGATTTGGTAGTTTTTTAATAAAGTTGTAAATTGGTGTTGAGAATGGTAAGTTGAGAAAGGTCGGAGTGCTTAGATACAATTCGAACATGTTCCTTCAAGCAATGTCTTATTAGTCTACAAGTCGATTTTGTATCCATGTGGTGTAAAGGTAAGAAAACATGAGTTATCTATTGTTAGCTTTTGTAACAAAATGGGATTGTGGGTGAGATATGGAACATGAAGTAGTTTGTTAATATATAACTTATGTGAGGGAGTAGAGATGGAAACACTGTTTGTTTTAGAGAGGAAATGATTGTACATTGTCAACTAGAACTAGATGACTGAAAGTTCTAGTTGGATCTTCAACCTTTAGAAATGTCTCATTGACCAAAAATCATAGAAGGTATATAAATAGGAGGATGAAAAAGATGATTGAAAGATTGAATAGAGGATCAAAAATGAAAGAGATAAAGACAACTTGTGTGGTCGATCGACTGATGAATGTGAATAAAGCTTCTTAAAACTTGAGAAATCTTTGATATTTGCACCAGTGCTGACAATTTCATCTTGGACTAAAGGATTCTTATTATATAGTGATGTTTCCATAAAAGATATGGGTTCTCTTTTAAAACAAAATAAGAAAGTCATTAAATATGCTTCCAGAGAACTGAAACAATGTGAAAATAATTATCCAATACGTAATTTGAAATTAGATACTATTTTTACTTTGAAATTTCGGAGGCATCATCTCTATAGAGTGAAATCTGATAAATTCAATGATTATAAAAGATTAAAATATAATTTTACTCAAAAAGAATTGTATTGAAGGCAGAGAATATCATTGATTTGATAAAAGATTATGATCTTAGCATACAATATTATCTAAGAAAGGCCAATGTAGTTGTTGATGCATAGATCAAGAAATCTATTTGGCATGTCAATTGGTTACAAACTTAAGAAGCAGAGTTAATCCGAGATGTTAGAATACTGAGTGATCAGGGCTTATATTTATATCAGATGAGCATCTAATTCACCCTTGAGGATAAAATCAAAGTTGCATAAAGGGCAAAGAATGATACAAAAAATTGAGATTGATTAAATGAAAACAAGCAAAAGAAAGATCTTAGTATTAATGAGAAGGACATTATCATTTTGGGTAAAACATTTTTACTTTAAAAAAAGAGAATCTGAAGCATGCATACATGTAAATTATGTAGGCTTTATGATTAACATGAGGTCAACTTCAAGACATTACAAATTTAGAGACATGCTCAAGATTTTGGGAAGATGTGAAAGCAAGAGACAACATAAAAGTTGAATTTAGACCTATGACTAGAAAAATGTGAAATGCTATGAAAAAAATTATGATACCAGATTTAAAGATTAAATGAAAGTGTTCTATGAGGTTCACTTTTGACAACAAACTAGTAATCAATATTGCATATAAACATGTGCAATATGATTGTACAATGTATTGAAGTTGATAGATATGTTATAAAAGAAAGTTTGAAAGTGGAACGATCTATACGCCATCCATAGGGAGAAATCTTGCATACAATATCACTAAACAATTATAAAAAACCTTTTAAAATTATCAAGAAAAGATGGAATTGATGACATCTCTTCGTTTGTTTATAAGGTAGTAAGAAAACACCTGCACCATATTTGACCAACATTCACGAAGCCTTTCAGTTTACTTCCTCTTCTATTGCAAGACATTGATTCGTGTGATCCATATTACATTCTCATCAATCTATGGCTATATTAATTATTCTATATTAATTACTCAATCAAATCAAACTATAGATTATTGTTAATTATTATTCCTTGATTTTATATATATAGTATTAGAAGCTCTTCTGGGATTATATAAATATTATAAAAATAACGCAATTAAATGCTCAAACGATTTTCTCCAATTCATGTAAAGAATGATAAATATTACTAATTTTTCTAGTGCTTAATGGTATTTATAATTGATATGTCCTAATAGAGTTGTATGTTCTCATATGGCTAAACACAATTAGTTAATGATAATTTTTCAGTAAGGCCATCAATGGAGTAATTAATGAGTCAAAAGCAATGTCTTTGTGTACAGCAGATGTAGAGTACCTTTTGCAAGGTAAATGTGTGACTATGGTTAAAGCTTAATGTTAGCTTTAGATAATTTGGTTCATTTGTGTTAATTTATAATTTGTTAATCTCATGGAATTTCGATGACTGTCTAGGACAATATTATATAATGGACCATATATTATTATATATGAATGCTATACATCCACAATTTTGCACCGTGATTCTTGTGATGAAAATGTCAAGATTTAATGGCTCTTTCATGCACTGGATTATGTATTAAATGGCATATAAATGTTACAAATTACCACATTAATCGTTTCTGCAGTAATTATGAAGTTGTGCATTGTCCCTGTTAAGACCATTCTACCATTATAACATCCTATTAGACACTTCAGCAATTCACCTCATGTTGTCACAATCGTCCGTTCCTATCACAGATTATCTGAGCTCCTAGGCCAAGTCTTGACATCTTATGCTCATGCCATTTTAAGTGGGTAACTTACCTCAACTGAAGAAAACAGCTCCTCTTCAACGCTCTTCTGGATAGCTGCTTCCCAGCTTACAGGATTTATTCCATCAATGTTTCCATTGAAGACATAATTGTTTTCTCGATAAAGAATGGAATCACCAAAATTTAATGCACTTGAAAGTGATTGCCATCCCAGAGGAACCTGAAAGAATGTGAAATAGCACATGATCAAGCGAGAATAGACAAATAAAACTTGCTATTATAAGCATATGAAAATTACAAATAGAGCAATTACAAAACTAACAGCAGAGGGGATGAGGCAAGCATAAAATAGATTCATTGTTTATAGTTATATTTAAGTTCGTTTTGCTGGCTATATAATCTAGGTAACTCTCAAATACCTTTCATTTACTACCTTGAATGGAAGCTTTAAGGTCTAATATGAAGCTCCAAAAGTAGCATTGAAAGCAAACATTTTTGAACCCCGAAATAAACACAATTTAATGTAAGAGGCGTTGGTGGAAAGACAAGATACCTGGGCAAATAGCCTAACCAATCTCCTTACAGACTTTGGAAACCAACATGGAAGCATTTGCACCAATGAAGTGTCCCCTCCAGCAGAAGAAAACATGCTATCTCGGAATCTCAAGTAGTCCGAAAATGCCGACTTTCCAAAAACTGGAAGTATAAGATAATATTTTAGCATACTAAGTTCAAGTAAATCAGTAAAAGGCCGCAATCATAACGGCAGGATGCATGAAAGGAAAGTTAGTACAACCAAAAATAAATAAAATTTATAAATTTATTAATGTTTACATGAACTTGAGCTCATAGAAACACCAACTGAATCTGTTCCGAAGCAAGATGAAACAAGAGCTCTCCACAATGTAGGAAACTTCTCAAGTCCGGGCTTTAAGTTTTCCAGTGTGCATTGAGAGGATGAAGTACAATGCCTACTTACACTTCCTGTACACAGAAATTTCTGCATTGGGGCAGATTCATGCATCAGCGTAGCCAAAGCAGCAAATTCACCTCCCCCTTCAGCCATATCATCTACAGTCTGTATTATCTCGTCCACTTCATGGACATTGAGCTTGCTAGTATGGGCCATCTGCTTAGATAAATTTGAATGTGCATTGAAGAATGATGCTTCATGTTCACGACCCCTTATCCTTGAAAGCAGCAGCCATTTTGCCCATTGACAATCCCCCTGGTAAGCATACAAATAATCAACAAAATCCGGTCATAGAGCATTCTATGATGTTTAAGATGACACCCAATAAATAAAGCAAATTCAATAATAACAAAAATTAAATAAAAAAATAATAATAATAGCAGCAGCAACAATAGCTGTTGCTAGTTCCGTCAATATATTGATACGGTAAACACGAATTTTAAAGCAGATGATGAAAATTCAGTATTTTTTGGTTAAGCGGTGTCTAAATAAAGCAACTATGTGGCAGCAAATGCTATTTATGCCACTAAGGGTTTGAGTAATATAGAGGAAGAAATGTATATCAGAGAACATAACGTAAAGGTCAAAAAGAAAAATTGGGGAAAGAGAAAAAGGCATAAGAAAGATTAAAATACAAAGAAGACAATAAGAATACGGCTACATTGAGGGAAAATATAGAACACGGCATAAGAAAGATTAAAATACAAAGAAGACAATAAAAATACGGCTACATTGAGGGAAAATATAGAACACCAAGAAACAAATAGATCAGGAGTAAAAAGGCGCTGAAAGTTGTGGCCTAAACAGAACTGATTGTTTGGCATGAAAGAAGTGCAAAAAATAAAAAAAAGAAAAAGAGAAGAGGATGACTCCCTTCTTGGATGAAAGGAGAAATAACATCATCCCCAGTAAATAGTAAGCGAGATTCTTAGCCATCTTCCTTCAAGCTCTCATACCCATCACCATCTCATCCTAATTTAACAGTAACCACTACGTAAATTGATCGGGAAAAAAATATTGGCTCCATATAGTTGATCCAATAAATCATCCAATCATGAAATAGTGAACTAGTATTTTATGGTAATCTTTTACACTACATTACTATCAATGCATGTGTTATGACCCATTCTACTTAAGCAAAATCAACACTAGCATGCACGCATACTAATGATCTCATGGACTAGTCCACGGGTCATCAGATCTTTAACCTAATTTTGCAACTCTTCATACTCTGTTGGTTGCATCCGCTAGACTGGGCAGTTTGAGAGCACAAATCCTGAAATGAGATTATAGCATGTTGAATCTCTCATAAAGCTGATAATTCAAGTGCAAATTTATCATTCATAACATCTTAAAACTCCTCTAATAATGGTCGTATTGCCTCAAATATTAGCTCCTTTGTCACACTATCTTCTAACATCACTAGAACAATAAGTGTTGGCACCTTTATTATATCCTATAAATCTATAGCACAAAGCTCCATAGCATTCTTCTATGTTTGAATACAAATTAATGTTGATTCTTCAATAATAAGTACAAAATACATTTTATCTTTGATAAATGAGTGTGTTTTAGTAGCCATCACGAATTGTGTCCCTATCATAGTGTCATAGTCTAACCATAAGATTGTGACATGCATCTACAGGCACAATATCATATCACATCTGATCCTACAACTTCTAAAAATTCAATCAAATGCCTTCATTCCGTTTCCTCAAGCAAAGGAACATAGTTGAGAATACTTCCAAGTAGTGACACTCAACTAGCTTCGTCTATTATGAGACTTCACGGATCTTTTCATATTGCAATGAGTGCAAAAAACATTTTTCTTGAACTACCATTGATCTCTATTAGGCTGAGCCTGCAAAACTCATTAAACCATAAGCATCTCACCATCATCTGCAAGTAAATGGTACTTCTCTCCAATCTCCTCGCTTTATTTTTTCCTCTATGCCTCTTCCACTACACCACACTTAATAAAAGAAATCACTCTTAGGTTTGGATAGTTAGATGCAATATACCACTATCCATGACCTTTAGAATACTTCGTGACTAAAGATGTCATAGTAGTGTTGGTTTGTTAAGTCCTTTTTACTCTAGTTCTAACTTCTCCTCATAGGAAAGAGGCTTTCGCACTCTAATTGATTTGCTTTTGTCATCCTACCCAATGTTTAAACCATATTTGAAAGATGGAAAAAAACCTGATCCTACTTTGTCACTTCTCCATTTTTAGGACTAGGGTTCGAACAACCTATAAAATCCTATAGGATTGTTCCTACACCATTTTTTTAAGGGATAACATTAATTCTCCAAGAAACCAGACTATATTATTCTCGTCTAGCTCTAGCAACTCACATTTCAACATAAATTGTTCAAACTCAATAGTGTGCTCCTCTATTGATAGATCCTTCTATTGCAAATGATGAAGTGTTAAAAATATATCATGTTTGTACTATGTTGGGAGGTACTTGCTCTGCATATATATCATGCTTACATAAGTGCTTTAAATTCTCCCACAAGGAAGCACTCTTCCTTAATTTGATGAGAACTTGTTTCGTCGTTCTATCAAATGGAACATCCTTGTATTCAAAAACTCATTCCATTATTTAAAGCCACTCAATGAACTTGCCCGGATCCATATAGCCTTCAAATTTGGCAAATCAACATTCACTCCAAAAACACTCTTTGCACCTATACTCAATGTTGAATCGATGCAGCATTGAGTCTCCATTGCTTGAGGCTTCTTGGTGAAAAATTTTTTCATATCATCCATCCAGGTGAGCACCGTTGTTGTAGAAAACTTCCTGATGTTGCCTCATTTCAAAATCAACAAGCCTCCACTGCAGTTGGTGTATTATCTACTAAATATCATCCATGATAAGTACCTAAGCACCTCGTCATGGTTTGTCCTCGGAGGAATAATATTGCTCCTCAGTTTAAGGTTTGGCTATGGTAGGATTGTAAATCTAAGGATGGCTAGGAATTTAAGTTTAAATGGTAGGTGCAGGGATAGATTTCATGCAAGGTAGAAATGTTGGATTTAAAAAATAAGGCTAGATTTTGTCTTTGAAACAAAATGATACTATTCTAGAGTTCTTAGAAAAATTTTCACAATCGGATTTAGCGGGAGGGGTGTGCAAAGTAAAGAGAAAAGTGATAGCGAAGTTGAATGAGTTCAGAGGGGGATCGATGGAGTTTGGTGGCCACCCGGACATAAAATAGTAGGGAGAACAACGAAATGACAATCTTGTGGAGGAATGGCTACCGAGGGAGGATCCATCATTTGTTCTCTTCAAGATAAACATTCACCACTTGAAGTAAAATAACCTACAACTCTCTAAAAAAATTAACGAAACAGTCTCCAAATAATATAACCACAGTAAAAATACCCAACCAAATTCAAAGCAAAATAAAGGAAATAGGACCCACAAGAAAAATAAAAACAAATAAGTGGAAAATTTCTAGCTATAGTTTCGCACGAGACAGGAATCCTGCCCCGTCCATGCTAGAAAATGATCTTCCATCCCAAGTTGTGATTCGCGACCTTATGGATGCTCCTGCATAACTAATCATCCAATATTTTTATTCAAAGCCCACAAATTTCATCAATAAAGTTTAATCTTAGTTTAATACTTAACATTTAGTCCAATTGAAGATAAGGCAATAGTTTGAGGCATCCCAGCCAACTCTTGACTACTTCACACCATAATTTGATAAAGCTATGGCTCAACACCTGAAGGTGATGTCCTACCTATACGCACACACTTCTCACCTCAGTTAGGTCCTGAAACATTAAATATAGGATAACAGCTAGCATTATTAAGCAATGCATATTCAATTATTGAAAACAAAACATATGGAACATTTTGTAATTCCATCATATTATTTAGTTTTGAAAGACTAACACAATTTTGCCAAGAACAAATGTTTAAAAAACAACTAATCTACCATACTGATTCTATTCTTCTTTTTAGGCATAAATAACTTGATGCAAGAAATTAAGAAGTATGGCTATATTATAGCTAAATAGCTAAGTTCATTGTATAACACATGGTTTTAACATCATGAATGATAATAAGCAAACAAAAGAGAACATCTAAGCAAGGATGACATCTAATGGTAACCCATGGATAAACCACAATAATGTAGACGCATAAATGATGATAAAATATATGCATGAAGACATGAAACAACAAACAAGGGCAATATTCAAAGTTCTGCAGGTAACATCTCACATGATAATATTAACCTTCACTGGATACTGGATAACTTACTGCAGCTTCACGAAGAAGGCATAGAGTATCGTCATCTAAAACCAGATTATGATGGTCAAGATAAAGATCCAGAAAATGTGGAAGGTTATATTGAGTACAATAGTGCATAATTAGCCTATGCAAAGCATCTGCAGTTTCATTGTGGGCTTGATCACTAGCTTTCTCCGCATCCAAAACCAAAGAACTATCAGAGAATTGGGAATAAATTGAAATTTTAGATGCATTAATAATTAAGCCAGCACGACCAATAAGAGGTACAAGCTCAGCAGTACTTTCCCAGTAATCTTTTAAGAAGATATAATTTCTGGCCAATTCCTTCTCCACAAGCTCTTTTAACCAAGATGAGCACATATAAACAGAAGAAAATCTGAAAACTTTGATATTGGGAAAAAACAAGTAAACAGACTCCACTTCTCCAGAAGCACAGATATTCATTGCATTATTTCCAGAACTATAACTTGAATGGTTAAGATTAATTTTAAGGGTTTCCTCAGATAAAAAAGATGAAGGTATCAAGTTAAAAAGTTTGCGGGCCTTCTCAAAATTGTTGTGCGATAAATAGAATTCCAATTGTGATTCCCATGATACAACGACTCCCATATTGATAGGATGATCAAGAACAACCTGAATTGAGAAAAAAAAAAGGGCAAAATGCCTGGATCAGTTAAGGAAATCCATAAAAAAAAATGAAAACGAGAAGTATCATCAAATCAGCTTAAGATTCGATACAGAATTTTGAGATTAACAGCCATAAAGTTCAAAGCACAGGCAAATGCTTGGTAAGAAAAATTAGGAGAGAAGACAAGAAAGCTTATTTAACAGTTAAGTAGCAAAACATTGAAGATAAAAAAAGAAACCTGGTTAAAAATAAAAAGAACAGATTGGACGACTTCAAAGATAAAAAGTTCTACAGTTAAGAAGATGACACCCATAAAGAGAAAAAAAATGCTAGTCTTAAAATAAGAAAACAAGCCTGATATCAGGATATTTCAATTTACAACACATTTGGTAAATAGAAACCACATGGTGACATCAACACCGAAAAAACAATATTTGTTGTTATTCAGTGGAAGCAGGACAAGCAACAACGCAGGCTTAATTTCATAAAAAATTGAGCATCAAAGCAAATGGAGATAACTGCTTCAATTTCTCTCAGTAGTCCTCAAAGTCCCAGCTAGCAGAACTGATGAATGGGAGGTGCTTCCACTTGAACCAAACCAAAAACTTGTAGAAACAAATAGAAACTAAAGACAATAGTTAGCATATATTATAAAAAAATGTATAAAAAGCATAAGAAATAATTTTAAGGACAAAGTACTAGAATACATAATTTTAAGCCTAGGTGCCAGAAACAAGTCCATTTTATTAAAACCATATTGGGAACTCAGTAATAAGGAATTTCTTAGCCAGAAATGCAGAAGACATGAGACAACTATATAGGTTCTTCAAAAAATAGATACGAGAATGACCAAATTCTCAAACCAATGCAAGAAACCAACTTAACACTTAGAAAAAATTAACATTGGAATACTTCTATCATTTGGTAATGGTTAAAACACAAGGCTATGCTCAACACAAATTTTAAAGGAAATATATAATCAAAACAAATGGCAAATTAACATCTGTCGTTTCTAATCAATAAAACTTTTTTTTACAACGAACAAAATCCAAAACGAAACCACAGAAGCAGTCAAATGAATCTCTCCAAAACCAACAGTGGAGAACAAGAAGCTAGATACATATACTAAGGTCAAAATTTATTTAGAAAGCAAGGGTTCTCCCTAATGCAGAGTTAGAGGAAGGTTTGACAATGTTATAAGTGAGGATGTTTCTTAATTTGAACCAAGGACATTTAGTTCATAATGGAAACAGTATAACCTGCTCCAGAATCACCATCAAATAACACAAACCACATATAGGCTTACTCGATTGCTTGAAGTTCAAAAAATACTGCAAAACAATGAATTTTCTTAAATCCTTCAATTGGTTAGATTTAACAATGATTCTCAGTTCCAAATACAAAGATTTCATTTTCACATTCAAAATGACTGAAAATGAAATCAAAATTTTATTAAAAATGCGTTCTATCACAAGGGAACCAATTGAGCAATTTGACTATTTTCCCTTAACTATTTTTATATGTGCTACCCAAGTACATCTAATAATAGTAATTTCACTATCAATTTTACTGTTCCCGATATGTAAACATAACCGGAACTGCTCAACTTGGCTTTTACTCGTTGTTAATAACTCCATACTCGAATTCATAAAGTATATAAGATCTAACTATTATCTTATAAAATCAAGAATAATTAGTCTGTAAATAATAACTTAGTTATGTTTACATGATTTCAAACCTTTTTTTTAACACAATTTAAATTTTAATTTAGTCATTTCGCAGAAAACAAAGGCAGTGGCAGCTTTGAAATAATCTAAGGGGCTATGACGAGACCTAGGCTTATTATTGCTGTCCAATTTAAGTCATGCACACATCTTGGGATCCTTTATGACTTGTAAAGGTCCAGGCTGATTTGGCTTATGGCCCAGCCCAACCCGTTTAACTTCCCTAATTCTTAGTAGTATGACCTTTCCAGAGAATTAGAAGGCAATAATTGAAACTCAAAACCAAGAATAACTTGAAAATGCGCTCATGATAATAGTCTAAACATATGAGCAATTATCAAAGATTTGAACATACACGGTCAATAGTTCTTTGATCCCAAGCATCAGCCCAGGTCGCAGCACAAACCCAGTAACCAGCATGAGAAGTATCCTCATCAACCACAGAAAGGGTAGGGACATCATCAAGATTAACCCATGCGCCTAATATGACCCCATCAATATCTCCACATTCGATGACATAATTTTCATTCACATGAAATTTCAATTCAATTTTTGAGACCTCCCAATCAATCCTTGATAAAGTTCTATCTTTTTGCTTCCCATGATATGTTGACCAGAAATTGCTGCTAGGATACAACCGCTATTTAAAAACATTGAAATGAAAAGAATTAGCCATTAGAATAATTGAATGCAACTAAACAGATTATAGGCAGCAAAATGCATCACAACTAGCACAAAATTAACATTAAGAAGAGAGAAGGGATAAAAAGGAAAAAAAACCTCAATAAGAGAAATTCTCTCCAATATTTTCCGCTCGTGTCTTCTGAGGTATCCATATGATTCCATTTCTTTGGCAATTTGTTCTCGAAGGGATCTTCTCACCGTACCAAGCAACAATTGCCGGAGGATAAGTTCTATATCTTCGCCAATTCTTAACAATGTCTCCACAGCTAGTGCGCTTTCCCCCTGCACAGATGTGAGTATCTTTCGTTCACAGAAAGAAGTTTGGGCAATCTCATTATGTTAAAACAACAAACTACCTTCAAAAAAAGATCATAAGCAATAGCTCGACCAATTTCACAAACTTCAGTGAAATTATCATAACGATCTTTTTCATCCTTCTGATCCCCATGACGTAGAAGATGCACTTGAAGCACTGCTAATGGAAGGCGGCCATAAAATAAAGCTTCCTTCACAACAGTTTTCAAGTCAGGACCATCTATGTTCCAGCGTGTTATCGTCTCCTTCGGATTTTCCAAGGGAAGTAGTTTACTCCTTGTAATGGGATCAATTTCAGGTACACAGATTTCATTCAAGCAAACTTGGCTATAAGAAGATTTTGCAGAAGACAAAGCCAAATCTTTGACTTCATTGAACCGTAACAATGATGCCTGAGCCTGAGATTCCTTGGAATTGAGCACGTCTGATGAGACAGACTCAGTAGAAGGGTTTGGAAGCATTGAATCATTCTGCAGGATTTCACCATCAACAATGTCTCTCGTGTCTTTCCCAACAATCTTCTGCAGAAAAGAAACATATTTCAAAAGATATATTTTTTGCATAAGCATGCATAAAATATCAAAAAAGCCATTCAAGCACCATACATCCACAGGTAGCTTTCTGTCCTTCGAACTCAGCTGACTTTGAAGATTTCTAATAACCTCCAACAGAAGGGCCATCTCAGAAAGCATTCGAGAGTTATTCGTCTCATAAAAGTTCTCAAAATGCTGATGTCTCCACATATATGCACTCCTAAAATCCTTCCTAAGAGAAAGGACCCTGCCGCCTGTATGCTCAGCTAACCCATATTTTCGAATCATTTTAGTTGCAAAACAAGCAGCAAGAGCTAACAACCTGAATTCACACATAATGTGGAGTTTTAGCATGATGAAAATGAATAGCGTGCCTGTCGCCAAACTGGCCGTCATAAAGTACAAGCTAACCAAAGCCATTCAACAATGGACTGCCTAGAGCAAGGAAGGCCAAAATGGGCTTGTCCAGAAGAAAAACCAAATGACAGGGTTTAGTTTCACCAAGAAAATACTACTAAATATAAAATATGCTCGAAGGGGTACAGTTCAATTAGGTAGAATAAAATGCCTTTCTAAAGAACATGACACAGAAATTATTAGAAATATACAATCTTCATATAAGTTGGGGACGTCAATGATGTGAAATGTATCTCTTATGGTAAAATAATAATAGAAAGAATTGTACATCACAAACAATGCTTGGTTGGGATTTCAAAAATGCTAAAACCTGCAGTAACTGTCGCAGCTTGAGAGAAATAAATTAAGACTTTGAAGGAATTAAAAGGTCAAATTAAACAAAAATCACAGAATAATATTGATGAAATTGATGATTTCGATATGATGGGGGATGATAATATTATAAATGCTAGACAATCTATGATATCAAAAAGATATCATATCTAGTCAAAGTTAACGACACTTGTGCTTAAGAATCCGAAAGACAAACGCATCATATAACTAAATATGACATTCACCTTTTAGCTAAATATAACAAGATACCTGATTTCACTTGGGACAAGGAGTGTAACATGAGTTTCACTTTCACACATTATTGGTTGAGCATAAGCTAGAAAGACTTATTTTCCCTCTTATTTTAATGTGATTTGGAGCACAACTGATTATTTTGCTGGAATTTTTCTAAATCTAAAAATGAGAAGCTAATTTAGAATTTGAATGGAAATACACTCCCTGTCAAGTTTTTCTATTCTTTTCTTATGAATGGCGGTATTTCAATAAGGTATATGGGATAGATGACGTGAAGCTTGTTGGGTCCAGCTGAACAGCCGGGCAAGCCCTGGCCTAATGGCTGACTGGGCCAGCTATAGGGAGCCAACCAGAAAGGAATTACCACCCCTCTACTCCTTTTCTTTCTCATTTTATTCTATCCATAGGAGGGACTCCCTTCCTATTCTATTTCCTAACTTTTTCTATCCCTTTCCTATTTTAATTCCTTGCACTTTCTAGTGCCTTCCTATTACATCCCTTTCCTTATATATTACTTTGTTTTTATCTACTTCCACCTAATACATATATGTTACTTTGCTTGCTTAGAGGTAGTTCTTGATTATTTCTGATTTCAGGTTGCTACCCTAAGGAGTTTTTTCCCTTCGAGGGTTATATCCAACAGTCAGAAGTGCTTTCGTTTGACGGCGAGAAGGTGTTTTAGTTGTAACTCATCAGAGGTGGTGATTATCTCTGCTCATTCCATCCTTTTCGGCGGTTGTCCAACCCACCGCAAGCTCTTCCAATTGTTGTCCAATCCACCATAAGCTCATATGGCTGTTCTGATACCCTAAGCCCTAGTCCTATCCTAGGCAGGAAGGGAGCGACAAGATCACCAAGTGGGAAAAGATGAAGAAAGCAAAGCAGAGGAAATACCTTCCACCCCACTACTATTAAGACATTTTTGAGACTTTATTGCCGGCAGCAGAGGGATTTTTCAGTTCAGAAGTTTACAACTCAATTTGACCAATTACAGATGAAGTGTGAGTCGGTCGAACCAGAGGAGCATACGATCGCCCTTTATCTAGAAAACCTGAAGCCCGCTAGTAACAAGTGTGGTTCAACTGCAGCCCTATTGGTCGCTTGGAGATGTTCAGACTAGCTCTAAAGATAGAAAGGCAGCAAAAGCAGAACAACAAGCAGAACTCCTTCAGACAACAGTTTTCATTCAGGCCATCACTTGCAACTACAACTACCGACAAGACTACCTCAAAAGGAGCAGGAAAAACAATACCGAAAAGTGAAAAGACAAAACCAATTGGAAAGAAGCCAAAAAAAAGGTAGTTATTCCGGGAAATTGTTTTCAGTGTCGTGGCTACAACCACATAGCCTCTAATTGTCCCACGAGCTGAGTTGTCTCATTCAGAGATCAAGGCATGGTTGAGGAGGTCGAGGACAAGGTGTCAAAGGATAGTCCAGAAGAAGAACTTCAGCTCTATGGAGACGTGAGAGAGATGTTAGTAATACGGAGAGTTCTGCAGTTAGAGTTGGAGAGAGACAGTTATGGCCGAGGCGCAATATCTTTCGCACCATGTGTATGGTAAAAGGCAAAGTTTGCAATTTGATTATCGGCGGTGGAAGTTGTGAGAATGCAGTATCCAAGTTGATGGTAAAAAAGCTAGGTTTGGCCACACAGAAAAATCCTCAATCATATTCCCTCACTTGGTTAAAAATAAGAAATGAAACGCGTGTAGAACAACAGTGCTTAGTTGAATTTTCAATTGGGGATCAGTTACAGCAGCAAGCGTGATGTGATGTGGTTCCAATGTACTCATGTCATATTTTGTTGAGAGGATCTTGATAGTTCGACCATAAGACTAAGTACGGCGGTTTCAAGAATACCTACTCTTTAAATAAGGATGGGAAACACATTGTGTTTTTAGCTGTTACAGATGCGAGAGGTATACACAACACAGAGGATGCATTAGCCTCAAAGGCTAACTTCATGTAGTTAGTTCGGGATGCGCCAATGGAACTAACATTGGTCCTACTAGAATGAATTCAGGAGGAGAATGTGATACCAGCACCGCTACAACCATGACCATACGACTTCTAGGATGTGTTGATCGAAAGTTTTCCAAAGGGGTTGCCATCACTAAGAAATATCCAGCACGAGTGTTGACGAATCAACCACCTATAAATTAAAACCTGCAGAGTATGAGTTATAGCGACAGGTGTAAAATCTCATCACAAGAGGGCTAGTCAGAGAGAGTACCAATCCGTGTTGTTCCCACACTGATAGTGCCTAAGAAGAACGGGTCATGACGGATGTGCACTAGCAACAAGGCCATTAACAAGATCAACATCAAATACTGATTTCTCATACCTCGCTGGAATGATCTCTTGGATCAGCTACACGAAACCACCATCTTTTAAAGATTGACTTACGCAGCGTGTATCACCAGATACGAATGAAATCAGTAGAAAAGTGGAAGAATACTTTCAACACACGAGATGGGTTATACGAGTGGACAATCAATCCCTTCAGTTAGTCAAATGCACCCAACACTTTTATGATGTTGATGAACCAGGTATTCCAACCCCCCTTTGAGAAATTTGTGATAGTCTACTTCGACAACATTCTGGTGTACAGTCAATCTGAAAAGAAACATTTACAACACCTAAGAACGATGTTTAAAGTATTGTAAAAAGAGAAATTATAAGCCCATCTGAAGAAGTGCCACTTCCTGACGGACCAAGTATATTTTTGGGGTTGTATCATGCCTACTGCAGGCATTCAGATGGACCCTACAAAGATTGAGGCCATTGTGAATTGGATTGCATCAAAGTCATTCACCAAACTAAGGCAGTTTTTGGGGCTCGCCTCCTTCTATCGACGATTCATCACGAACTTCAACACTATCACCGTCCCCTCTGTCAGAACTATTGAAAGAAAATGTGTTTACTTAGACAGTTGCAGCTCAGACCAGCTTCAACGCACTAAAAGAAAAGGTGAATCAAGGCAACAGTTCTCTAGCATTAATAGATTTCAACGAATTGTTCGATGAGGATTGATGCATCCAAGGTGGGAGCGGTGTTGAGCCAGAAAGGTCACCCTATCACCTTTCTCAACGAAAAACTAAATGACTCCAGGAGAAAGTACTCGACCTACAACAAGGAGTTTTATGTTATTGTCCTAACCCTTGAGCACTGGAGCCACTATCTGTCGACGAGCGAATTCACGTTGTTCACGAATCATAAAGCCTTGAAATTCCTAAACAGTCAGAACAAGCTGAAAGACTGACACGCCACTTGGACGGAATTCTTAGCATCATTCCAATTCAATCTTAAACACAAGGCCGAGATCTAGAGCCGAGTAGCAGATGCACTAAGTCTACATTACCTATTGATCACATCGATGCAGGGTCGAGTTATGAGTTTTGAGATAGTAAAGAACTTGCACGAGACAGACGAAGACTTCAAGCAAACTTGGGAGTGATGTCAGGAGAATCCTACTGAGCAGTACTACAGAGTCGACTAGTATTTCTTCTACCAGAGTAAGTTGTGCATTCTAAGGTGCTCACTAAGGGAGAACATTGTTCAGGAGAGCCATATTGGAGGACTATCATGACATTTTAGCAGAGAAAAGACTCGCACTCGTGAGAGTGCACTTTTTTTGGCCTCAACTGACGAGAGATGTGGAGCGACACCTTTGACAGTGTAGAATTTGCCATAAGAGAAAGAACAGTGCAAAGTGCAAGATTATACACTCCCTTACCAATACCAAAGGCATCGTGGGGAAACGTCAGCACGAAATTTGTGGTAGGGGTTCCACGAACACAGCGGAACAAAGTCTCCGTGATGGTGGTGGTAGACCGTTTCTCGCAGATAGCGCATTTCATACTATGCCACCGGACGTTGAATGCATCTCATATCGCCAACTTGCACTTCAAAGAGACTGTAAGACTGCACGAAATTCCCAGAACCATCACTCCTGACAGAAACATCAAATTTTTGAGCCACTTTTGGAGGAACCTGTGGAGGAAGCTAGGCACCAAGCTCCAATTCAGTTCAACAAATCATCCACAGACAGAGGGTCAGACAGAGGTGGTAAACAGAAGCCTAGGAAATCTTCTGAGGTGATAGTGGGAAAGAGCATTAGGTAGTGGAATCTAATTCTAGCCCAAGGCGAGTTTGCATACAACATATCCGTGAGTCAAACTATAGGATGCACTCCGTCCTAGATTGTGTACGGGCGCAACCCGCTCAAACTACTTGATACCACTCCTGCCAACATCAAAGATCAGTGAGGATGTTCAAGAACAGGTTCACGAGATCTAGAAACTCCACGAAGAGATTGGGAAAAAAAATACTAAATAGAAATGCAAATATCTACACACAAATAAATTCAAGAAGAATGTGACATTTCAAGAAGGGGATCTCATGTGGATTCAGTTGAAGGAGAGATTTCCAACAGGTTCGGGAAACTCAAGCACAAAGCAGATGTACCTTTCAAAATACTTCGGAAGTTGAATGTGGGGGGGATAAGGTTTTTGGGGCGGAATTACCTCCCCTCCCCTCCTTTTGTTTCCTATTATGTTCCTTTCATGTCGGGGATTCCATTCCTATTCTATTTCCTACCATTTCTTATCCCTTTCTTATTCAAATTCCTTGTCTTTTCGAGTGTCTTCCTATTGCATCCCCTTTCCTTTTATATTACTTGTTATTTTTATCTACTTGCACCTATTATATATAGGTTAATTTGCTTGTTTGGAGGTAGATCCTGATTGTTTCTTATTTCAATTTGCTGCCCTAAAACATTTCCTCCTCTGAGGTTGTATCCGACTGTGAGAGGGTGCTCTGGCTATAACTCATCCAAAGTGGTGATTATCACCACTCCTTCCATCATTTCCAGCCATTGTCCAGCCCGACGCAAGCTGTTCCGATTGTTGCCAAGTCCAACATAAGCTCTTTCAGTTGTTGTCCAATCCACCCCAAATCATTCTCGACTGTTGTCCAGTCCACTGCAAGCCCTCGATGTTGTCGTCCAGTCCACCACAGATTCTTTCAGGCTGTTGTCAAGTCCACTGGAAGCCTTCAAACTGCTTCCTATTGCACTAAAACCTCTTCTAGCTGGTGTCCAAATCACTGCAACTTCTCTGGTACCTGTCCTGTGACCGCCGACCGCTGACCGCCCTTGCACCTTCCAACAGGTCGGCCCTCTTCCAGCCTCCTTCCGACAGGTCGGTCTCCTTCTTGCATTTGTCACACAGACCACCGACCACCTGCTGCTCCATCCAGCACCACAGCCACCTGTTGCTAGCCACCTTCCAGCACAACCACAGCTCCCTTCTTGTCCTTCTGAATCTGCTGCTCACCTCTACAGAGAGCATTTATGTGTTTTGTGTTGTTTCCTTTCTTATTTTTGCAATGTCATCATTGTCACTTATCGTTTTGCATGTTTGTGTTGTTTAATGTTAGGGAAACTTCGTTGTAATTTTTGAAATCAGCAATAATATTTGTCGTTTGGTCGTGGTTTGGGTTAATTCTGATAACAATAGATTTAGCACTTTAATGCTCTTAAAATTGATATATTGTGTTTTCTATATTTGAGAAATATTTATAATAAGTTTCAACTTCACAAGTTAGGAATCCTCTCTTCTCCAGATGATGTGGAAGGGTCACCTAGAAAATGCATTTCATCTTTCACCTAGAAAATGCATTTCATCTCATCTTTTTTTTTTTTCAATTCTAGGGCTATTGGTATAAGAATTTTACAAATAGTTCTTGACAATTGAACATATTATGAATGACACAAAGGTCCACGAGGTTGTTATTATGTGGAGCCTAATTGCATTAATTAATAGAGCATTCAAAGCCCTCAATTTTGCCAATTAAATTTGACGATGAGTTTGCTCAGGAGGTATGGGGAGGTGACTTGTATTTAATTTGGGGTCGTTGCCCACGAAAAAAAATGGTTTATTGTACACAGTGCCTTAGCACCCAGAAGGCAACATTGCCACACCCAATACAAGTTCAAAATCGAGAGCACGACACTTCAACGCCCAAATGGGAGCACCACAGTGCCCAGATTCAGTATAGCAGCTCCCAGTCCAGGTTTAAAGACTAGAGTGCACAACATTGCAACGCTCGAATACAGCGTCGCTACGCTCAATTATGATGTCCCAGTGCCAGTAGTTGAATTCAAACAATTATGGTTTTATATTTTGGCTTCACTAGAGGATTTTATAAGCGTTGAAGTTGGATTTTGAGATTTCTCTTATGTAAATAAGAGGAGGGAGTGTTATTGAGTTCCAAAAGAGTAGAGAGGTTTGAGTATGGTGTAATTTATACAATTCTCATATTTCGTAGTGGATTTCTTGGTGTTCTTTGTATTTTATGTGACACTATGGTTTTTTTCTTATTCTCTGATTTTTCCACATTAAATTTTGGTGTTCTTTGTCTTTTATGTGATTTCTTGTTTTGTGTGCTTTTGTTTTAACTTTTGCTTCGGATCTATCAAATCAGTTTCTGGGAATTTTCAACATCAATCATGATAGAGGCACCTTCTTCTTTGTTGCTATTTGGTCAACTTAAGGAGAGAAATTGTGTTTCCATCAATAATAAAAAAAATTGAAGAGGTATTTGGTCTCATGTCATCATATTGGTCTACCTTCGGTTCTCTTCTTCTAAGAATAAGATTGAAAGGAACAAAATGGTTTGAAATATTCAAAATAATCCAAAGGAGCTTTACCTTGCATCTTCGTAGTCACTGCTATACTGTATATTTTCTTATCCTTCATCTTATTTCTTATTATTATTCTTCTCATTGGGTTTTCTACTAACTGTTGCATATGCTGCCTTTTAATTTATCGTGAAGGATCTAGCACCTAGCTTCGCAATAAAAACAAATTGCACGGCAAAATCACCTCCACGCTACCATGACACAATGGCAACAGTGTGATTCATACATACCTAGATGCCAAAGATGCTTCATTGTCCTTTCCAACTTTACAGAATACCAGATAAACGGAAGTAAACAGCAAGTGCAGGATGCCTTCTTCAGCAAGATTAGCATCGACAAGCATATCCAAGGATCTGTCCATCATTAAGCATGCTAACTTAAGAAATATATATACAACATATAATTCCTTAGTTAAAAAAAAAAAAATCTTTAAGCATATATGAGACAATCAAGTAAATCGATGAGCAACATAACAACTTGAACGCAAAATACAGTTGCTGTGATAACGGATATCAGATAACTTTGCAGTAAATGGAAAAAGAATGTTTACTCTCATAAGTGTAATTGAACAATAATGTGATGCGCAAAGGGATTTCTTTTGCGTCAAACCACAAAATGGAAAGCACAAACGGTGCTTTACAAACCAAGGAATTTATAAAATGCATAACATGAACATAATGATGCATTCATTAACAGATAAGAAAATTATAAAATCTTTAAATTAATACTGCCATTATATATTCTCTGTCTCTATCATTTACTTTTAAAAGAGGAGAGATTACAACATTCATTGTCTATTTATGTTCTATCAACATCAAAATATTTATAAAATTGAACAAATTAATTTACCAAATACTTTGTATCATCATCCATTTAATCATACTAATTCCCAAAGCCGATTTGAAAGGTTTGAATTGAGAATTTAAGGAAATAAGATTTTGATTCAAAACAAAATGTCATAATAAAGATAACCAGAGGATGTTAAATTCTTCATACACTTTCATAAGAAAATCATTAAAAATATGTATAATTAATAAAAATGCTTTCATATTTTCATGGATCACAAGTTACTGACAAATTAATTAAATTTCTCCATATAAAATTTATATACATGAGGTCAAATTTATTTTTTACTTATAAAATTAACATTTAAGGGTTTAAAATGAACTTTCATAAACAAAAATTTTTTAGCCACAAAGCCTTAATCCCTCTACGTAGGGTCGGCTACATGAATAATTGTTGGCTAAAAAAGTTTTTGTTTATGAAAGTTTATTTTAAATTCTTAAATGTTAATTTTATAAGAATCTTCACTATTAGAAAAGAAACAACAGACCAAAATGCAATTTCATCTTGTAATATGGTGGTGCCAGAGGCGCTGATCTGATTTCTTCTATCAACATCAATATATAAGAGCTCGTAGATCAAACTCGCTGTTTCAGTTTCGAGGGGAAATAATCACGGACAACGCTGCTGTACGATCTCATAAATGAAACTCATGGCTTCTAGACAAAAACTGCTAGTTCGAAAGGGTAAATCGTATTTGTATAAGGAGACGTTTAAAAAAACCAAATCTAAAGCCTAAATCAGCTCAATCAAGTGAGCAAAAGTTGCACGTAAGCTCCATGGTCACAGCACTTAGCACTGAAGCATGATTCAAGCGGTCAAGCGGACACTCGAGTGTACAATCCATGCACATTAGCTGCGTGAAAACGAAGCAAAGCGGGAAGTCATCACATAGCGCAACTTGCAAAGCGCACTTCAAGGTGCACTTTTATTTTGCTCATTCTCACTAAAATTGAGAGTAGTTTAATGCTATCAAGTATGATTTCCTGCAGGTAAGAAACTTCTAGGTCTTACAGCATATTGCGGCTACATTTTTGCATACAAAAGCAAAATGGCAGGCATATATCAAAGCCTAAACTCACCTGCTAATGGTTATCTCACTTATGAAAATGAATTAAGAAGTCGAGGTATAGTAAGAAAAATGTACATAACTTTAAACCAGTAAACATTAGCACAAATAGTGAAGTGTTTCATATACCAAAAATAGTTCATATTGACAAATAAAACAATTATAGCCATATGAAATTTATAATTTTCTATCTTATGAAGACTCAATCTATCGGGTATGGCATTATCTAACCCATTCAAAATCCTGTTCCTCGTCATAATTTCTTCTTAAGTTTTATAAATTTTAATTTGTTGTTAAAAGCATATAACGAACTGCCTCACGACAAGGAATGTTCTTACCTACACAAAACTCACTTTTATCACTTGACATAACCCAACATTGGCTTCCTCGCTGAAATACAATGATAGGAATAAAAAAAGTATAAATACAATTGGTTTAAAGAAACCGGATCAGGAAGTTTAACCGTGAAGTTGATGTTACCACACATTTTATTTGATAACAATTAAAATGTTATATTTTAGTAGACAAAATTCATTATTCTAATTTTACAAATAACTAGTGCAAACTGCAAATCCATTCATTAATAAAAGCATTTAAATGGATTAGGATGAAAATAATCCTGCCCAGGCCATCTCTATTAGTTGGGCACGACCAAGTATGCCACGATCTCCATTTCCTATCTGACATCAGGGAGTCGGATCGCTGTTCTATGAGAAGCAGGGTTGAGTGTGTGCAAGAAATAAGAGTAGCAGTCATCACTGCCATCTTCATTGACAATAAGCAAAGCTATTGTCATTATTATTTCTTTTCATTTTCCCCCAACATTAGCTGCTGCAGCACCTCCATCAGCCTTTCCACCCGTACCAATCATGTGCCATCATGGTGGATCACCATCACTATCATTGCAAGTACAAACACAGCCAACTCACCTTCGCACTTTATTACTCTTTTCGCCTTTTTTCTTCTCTTTTAATTGTGTTTTTGAGCTCGTCTCCAGCCTTTATGTTTTTATCGTTCAATTTAAGTTAAGATTCACAGCACCATCGTTGCAATGCTATTTAATGCTATTATTTATCATGGCATTGGAGACTTGTGATGCACTCAACATCAACACAAGTTCCAACACAAATTGTCTAGCCTGCCTACGCATTGGCAAGTCTTCAATATTTATTATCGCCAGCACACGAAAATTTTTAAAAAGGCAACTTTTTGCTGCCAATTTTATTCAAGAGTTGCTTTTTACCTATTTAAGTTGATTAATAATTAACTAGTTAGTCATGCAAATGAATTGAGTCCAGACAAATAATGCCTTATTCAAGCTTATTCATTTATTTTTCTTATCAAATTCAAGCTGAGTTTTAGTGTGACCAAAGTTTTAAATCATGTTCATTCTTTTTTATTGAGTTAAGCCAATTATAGGCTCCATGTTAACAATTTAAAAATACCACATCATTTGCAGATGTAGTTGACTTTATAGATTTTAATCAAATTCATATAAGTCAATGGATGTTATTAAGTTGTTTGGTGAAATTCAAAAACTAAAAAGAAAATATTTTAATCAACATTTTTGACTATTTGTTTGATATTTTCATCATTTATATGCCTCTATTTTTAATAATATAAATATTTTTTTTAGCGCAAAGGTACATGAAAATCGATAAAATAACACAAGGAATCCATCAAATAAACAATCAAGTCATTATTAATTTGACTTTAACCAAGTATTAGCAAACTAAACAACAAAAGAGTGCATTCACAAACAAAAACAAAAAAAGTTGGTATTCATGCTTTTCAATTAATAAGCTTTTAAAACTTTCTAAGCTCGTACAATATATAAACAAACGATCCTTACATGAGAGAGTATTGAATAGTTTATCTAGAATACTAATTCGCTGAGTAAATTGCCAAAATAATTCTCAACTATTTACATGGGGCCGTTTTAATCCCAGAGTTTATAGAAGTGTCAAATAGTCCACATACTCTTTAGATTAAGGAAAAAATAGTGTCCATGAAGGACTATTAATATTTACATGACTTTATTGAGAGATTAACAAAATTATTTATGATGGAAATTATTAGACTACATACAATTCCGAAGGTCATTATGTCAGACAAAGATGATAGATTTACATCAAGAAAATGGAGAGCTCTTCATGAACGTTTGGGTACTAAATTGCATTTCCCATTCACAGATAGATTCTAAATAAAAAAATAATAATTGAAGTCTTGGAAGATTTATTAAGAATATGTTTTATGCATTCTAGTAGTAGGTAGGAGGGATCATATTCTATTGATAAAGTTTAGCATTATGATAGCATTATATAATAGAAGATGTTGGGTTGAAACTAGAGAGAGAGCACCACAGCTGTTAGTACCGTTGGTAAAAATATTAATGATCCCAAGCAAGGTGATAAAATTTAAAATTAGTGACTTTAAATTTTTAGAGGCCAGATTAACGAAAAGTAAATCTAGATTGACAAAAGAGGGAATCTATGTCCCAGATACATTGGTTTCGTTGAAATTGCTGAGAAAGTTGAAAAGATTTCTCATAGCTTAGTGTTATCCCAAGATATGTCTGATATGCACAATGTATTTCAGCAACAAACTGTATGAGTATACCCCAAAAATTAGACATCATGAAATGGTAGAACATTGCCGAGCAATAGTAGAGGAGATCAATCACGATGGGAGGTTTTCATTTCCCCCTCACACTGGTTCTAGGAATGGATTCCAGAAACAAACTGTGAAGGGAGCTTCCACCTGAGATGGTCAAACTGTCATCCTGGAGATTCTGTAGTTGAAGCATTCCTTTTTTTTCATCTTGTATTTTTGAACCTGCTATTCATCTTCCACTTAGTGTTCCGGCTGATCATTTTTCTCACCTTGATCCTGACACTCCTCCCAAGTATGAGTACCTTCCCCAACAGCAACTAAATGAGAGGGAGTCTCAGGAGGCTTGCTTAGAGAAGGATTCTCATCAGGTTCGCTGGAAGAAGTATCTGGCTGTGTAGGACTGTTTCCATTGTTAGGAGCAGCGAAAGCAAGCGACTCATCTGTCTGGTTAACATTAGCAACAAGTTTCAGTAAAGGTGCAAGATCTAAAGATGTCTCTTGGGTAGAATTGTTAGAAATAGCATGTTTAGAAATAGATGGTTCCTGTGCATGTTGTTTATCTATATCGAGTTATTTTGGAATAAAGAGTTTCAACTCTGGGTGTAATCTGAAGCATTTATCATGTGTGTGGTCAAACATCTTACAATAATTGTAGTAGTAAAGTCTTTGTTCCATAATGAATTGTTAACAGTAACCATTGTGAGCAGTGTCTAGCCAGATTTCTTCAACGTCTGGAAGTATAATATCCCTCTCTATTAAAATTCTTGCAACAGAAGGCCTTGACAGATTAAAGATAGAAATTTCTAACTGCATTGATTTTCCAAGAAT